GCCGGCGCTCGGGGGCGGCTCCCCGCGGGCGCTGGAGGAAGGCGCGACCCCGGGCGCTGCGAAGTTGCCCGCGGGGAGCCGTGGCGTTCGCCTTCGAGCCCGGCCTCCCGAGCACGGCGTCTCCGCTGCCGGCGCTTTGTAGCTTGCCTCATCCAACCTGCCCTTCTTCCTTGGTTTATGGCCCTTTCTCTCCGTCTCCCCGCTTGGGATCTTTATTTTGAACACGTCAATTCCCGCCTGCCTTTCCCCAGGAGCAGATCCCCGCGTGACCGCACCTGGCCGTGATTTCTGCCTGTCATCAGGTGTTGGCCGCCTTGTGTGTCCGCTGTTAGGAAACTTAGAACCTTCGGATTCCTGAAAGCCGCGCAGTAGAAATTGGTTGGCGTTTGAGACCTAGAGTAATTAAAACCACCTCGCAGTAGCTGTTTTGTCCGCCTGTCTTACCTAGGTAGCTGCCGGTCATCCCATCTTGATGACTAACGGCAGTGTTGTGATTTTTCACGGTAACTTCATCATAGCCTGTGTGGGCAGGTGTCCGGTGTTGGTTGCTGAAGGACTCACTTGCCGTATCTTATCAGCTGAGTGTTTTCCGTTTCTTTAGTTCAAAGAATAATGTGATTGAGTTGATTTTTTTAAGCAGCGGTAACTTTGTTTCCATTTTTCGTCTTGTGGGATCGAACCCAGGGCTGTAAGCGGCAGATTCGGTAATGAAAGCTAACGTGTTCTTTAACTTTTATTAAGCAGGCTGTTATTTCAAGCTGCGCTCAAATATTGTTGAGAGCGCTGCTTTTAACTTAGCATGACAGTTTCTGTATTCAGAATATGCTCAGTTTTTTACTCATAATTCTGCTGGGTTCTAGGCTCCTTCTCTAAAATTAGGATAAAAACTGAAATTAGAAAAGTACGTTTTGTGTTGTGTGGTTCTCAAACAACTACACTTGTTTTCTGAACTTACAGCATTGTAATTGAAATATCATGACCTACCATTTACCATAAATCACCATCTAGCTGTCCCGAGTTTCCTACATTTATCCTTTTACTATTGTAACAAATGCAGTGTTGCTTGCTGATGAGAGTTGTATTCTAACCTTTAGGGAAGCAGTGGTCAAAGCTGGCGGCCCCCCCTCCCCCCTTATTAGTCAATTACTAGGATGTTTTTCAGATTTGGTCTTCATATAAACTGCACTTTTTATTTATGGAATTTCCTTTTAAATTTTTTTTTTTTTTTTGCAGGAATTGGACTCAGTACCTTCGCACTGAGCTACTTCCGCACCCCTTTTTAAAACTTCTAAAATTTTGAACTTTTTTTTGTTGTTTTGTGAGACAGGGTCTTGTTGTATAGCTCAGGCTGGCCTGGAACTTGCGGGGAGCCTCTTGCCTCAGCCTCCTGAGTGCTGGGATTACAGACACGCCACTACCATCCTCAGCAAGAAAGGTGGTTTTTGTTTTATCTCTGAGACAGTCTCCCGAAATTGCTAACTTGCTCAGGCCAGGCTCAAATTTGAGACCCTCTTTCTAGGGCTCCCAGAGTGCTGGGATTACAGGTTTGTGCCACTCTTCCGGCTGGCCATTGCCACCCTGCAAGTTTAATTACATTACCTTGAAATACCTCAGAAAACACAGCAAGTTCGTTTTGAGAGATAACTCCTTTAATAGGGGAGCTGCAGCACTCACCAAAGGCGCTGAATTGGTGGCTTGTTGGGCCTCCAAGTCCTTTGGTCCAGCAGTTAGGAAGACATTGTTAAAAGGACCTTTTACACTCTCGCCCTGAGGCTGCTGAAGTTCAGCTTCCACAGGAAGTGTTTTTGTTTCCCCATTTTTTTCCTGTTACTTCTGATGAATGCCACGGGTGAAGCCCTGCCCTGTGAGGAGAACGGTGGCCCTCTTCCCCACAGCCCTCTAGTCCAGGAAGAACTGCTTCCTTTTACTGTGCAGCTGCTTTTCTGTCTTTTTTCCTCCTGTGATGTGCTTTGCCTGTTACATTGTTGAATTACTACTTTTGCTGTTGATATTTTACTAATTGAGATGCTTTACTTAGACTTTAAGGATATTCTTTCTTTCAAATTGTAAAAGATAAGTACCTTTTGAATTGCCCCCACAAAAACAAGCTGTGTGTTATCTTGGGTTGCTAGAGCATGACAGGCACGTGCAGGGTCATACACTCACGCAGGTGTGCAGCAGAGTGGGCAAGTGTATTACACTTTGTGTGATTCTGCATTTTCAGTCGATTGTTTCCACAGCAGGTGATGGTGAGAGCGTTGTTACTGTGACCATCACAGCCGCAATCTGTTTTGTCAGCCCTGCGCTGTGTGTGCATTATCACGTTTAATCCCCATAGCAACCCTGAAAGGAGATAGATTTATCCTTGTTTTTAAGATGAGAATGGTGAACCCCAGAGAGCCAGGGAAACTCTAAAGTTACACACTTAGTATAAGGTGCAAAGCTAGCAGTGAAACCAATAGCTGGGACTCCTAAGCCTAGGACTAGCCTTATAAATACTTCTGTCCGTTGAAACCCACACCGTCTTGCAAGGAAGTCAGTTCTAATAATGAGTGTGTTTTGATTCGTAGCACACACAGTTCTTTAACATAGCCACGTTTAATAATTAAGACAGGCTTATGTGGAGATCCTGGCATTGGGCAGCTCTCCGAGTGTTTCTGTTGAACTCAGATCACTTGCTTGTTTTCTCTGCATATCACAGAGAAATGGGCTACTTGATCCCATGCACACCCTAACCCTTTGGATATTTGACAAAAGCTGTCATAGCCCTGGTCTTCAGGTTAAACGTTAACATCGCCAACTTCTATATCCATATGGTGTATGACTTGATGTTTTGAGACAGAATCTCGCTGTGTAGTTCAGGCTGGCCTTGAACTCACTCTGTAGCCTAGGCTGACCTAGAATGCAGTGATCCTCCTGTCTCAGCCTCCTGAGGACTGGGATTATAGGGATGTACCACTGGTTTATAAAGTGTTTTAAGTGATCTTTGAAACATGGAAAATAAACAGGTGTGTTAAATGAGTGAATAAAACCTCATTTCCTATATTGGCCATTATTCTGCTCTGCTGTGTAATTGGCTCTTTTCTTTTTGGTTTTTTGAGGCAGAGTCCCACTGTGTAGTTCAGGCTGGCCTTGAACTCACTATGTAGCTCAGGCTGGCCCTGAACTTGTGGCAGTTCTTCTGCTTCAGCCTCCCAAGGGCTGGGATAATAGGCCTGTGCCACCACGCCTAGATAAGCAACTTTTTTAGCTTCCACCAGTGAATGAGAGCAGGCAGTATTTGACCTTCTCTTCCTGGTTTATTTTCCTCAAGTTGCATCTATGTTGCCACAAACGGCAGGATTTTATCTTTCTGTGGCTGCTTGAATTCTGCCACATGCATGCTCTCACACGTGTGTATGAATGTATATGTATGTATGTATCAGTTTTAAAATCCATTCATCTGTCAGTGCACATCTTAGTTGATTCCATGTCTTTTCTTCCAAATGGCGCTGCAGTAAGTGTGGATATGCAGTCTCTTTGATAAGTGATTTTATTTCCCTTTAATATATTATACCCCGTAGAGGGATTGTTGGGTCACATGGTACTTCTGTTTTCAGTTTTTGAGGAATCTCTATTGCTTTACATAACGATTGTATTTGCAACATTCCTAGCAGCAGTGTGTAAGAATCACCCTTTCTCTGCGCTTACCAGCATTTGTTAGTTTTTGTCTGTTTTTTGATAATAGTCATTCTAACTAGGGTGAAATAAGATTTTTTTACATGAACCCATAATGGGCTTATTGTTTCTTAAATAAATCTTTACTACATGAAATTTAAAATTCATCTAATTAGGATACATATAAATACATGTATCCATATAAAAGGTGTTGGGATTGTCCAAATCCTTAAGTGTGTGCAGGAAGCTGAGCATAGTGGTGCACGCCCAATAGTCAGGAGGCTGAGGCAGGAGGATCCTGCAAGTGCGATGTCTGCTTGGGCTACGTGGTAGGATCCTCTCTCAAAAAAGGTATAAAGTATATGGGGATCCTGAAACGCGGTGTTTGAACACCAATGGTATAGAAAAAGAGTATAGACTTTAGAGCCACAATTGTCCCTTTTTCTAGATAGTGTAGTTTTGGGAAATAACTTCTTTATTTTTTCCACCTGTAAAGCAGGGATATTTTTCTCGCAGGGTTTTTGATGCACTGAGTGAGACAAGGTGTGAGGGTATAGTGGGGCCTGCACGCATAGCGCTGCCCCTGAGGTCCCGGCCCTAGATGCTTTGCGTACTTTAAAGCATGGTCTTAATGCTTCTACTTATTTGTCAGAAACATTCAGCTTTGTTAACTAAAAATGAAAATGTCCAGTT